TGAAAAATAGCCTTCGTCAGCGCAAGCTCTATTTGACACCCAAACATGACTGGTCAGCGAAGCGTGAAGCGATAAGAGATATAGCTACGGGACGCCCCCATCTGTTCGATCCGGAGGGGCTATTTGTCTGGGCTCACATTTACAACGAGAAAAATGTTCGCAGTCGACACTGGAGAGAGACGCCAAGTAGTCTTGGACAAATGCCCAGCGTGGCTCAGCGGTAATTGAAATCAAAGTTTGCTGGATTTGGACAGACCGAAAAGCCACTTACTGCTGGCTCCTGGCGGAAACATGACGGGTAAGTCTGTTATGGTCTACTGTTGGATAGCTCAAGTGTTGATGATGTGGTGTCTGACGTTGAAAAGTCCTTATACGAGTACTATCCAGCCATCTCGCCGTGATGTGGCTTATCAAGGCATCTAACACGATGAAACTCTTCATGATTCGGTTCTAGCTCATCCATCCCGTTCCATCCCGCAGAGTATGGGGATCTACCCGGACTAGTGCGCCACCTGCCCAGATCCCACCACCGTTCACAGTCAGTACTGGATAGTCGATACCAAATCACAAAGAGGGCCGAGAATATAAGCTTGGCAGCTCCCGACCGACGGGTAGCATGAGCCTCTGCCGCCCAGCGGAACCGGATTGCAGGCCTGCCAAGATGGCGCCAAGGTGGCGCGCGGCGGAGGATACGATACGTCCAAAGCCGAATACACTGAATCCCTGGATATTGTCGCCTGATGAGTCCGATGCGGTATTGCTATCCTGGACACTTCGAATCGCGAGGATGATGCGTGTTTGTGTCGCATATTGGGCTGAAACTGAAACGTCCAGAGCGGCGGTGAAGACCAACCACGAGGATAATGCGAAACGTGCGTCGCTCCGATGGGAGTATCGAGTCGAAGGTTAGGACGAGTGATGATCCAACTTGGCGCGGAGACACGCGGGGGGCTCGCCATGATTATGAAGATCCAGGCAGTGTCTACCACATATAGATCCTACGTCCGGCACGTTGGATGCCCGAGTTAAGGAACTTTATCCATCAGAATCACCCAGCTCTACCACAGTCTCTTTGCAAACCCCTTAGTTACATCATGCAGACCTATCCTTCTGAAGATATTCAACCAGTCCCAGCAGCAAGGACAACAAACAGAGGACATCTCCAATTTGCCGAAGATAAGGGCGGACTCTGGTCCTCAGGCAATAGCACTAATGTTTCCCTCTCTGTCGGTCAGGCCGTAGAAGGAGGCCTTTATGCAACTATGACTCGGCACTTCAAAGCCGAGATCGATACCAGATACGCAGACATTGTTCTGATAGTTTGCGGGTTTGTCAGCGGGCTAGTTGACGGACTGTCCTTTAACGCATGGGGTAGCTTCTCAAGCATGCAGACAGGTACGCCATAGCAGTTGACTTGACTCGCTGAGAACGGCTTCTAATAGAGATTAGGGAATACCCTCTTCATCGCCCTCGGTGCTTCCGGCCAGCCTAGATATCCAGCTTACCTCTGGGCCAAATCTCTCATAGCCCTATGCACTTTCATTTCCAGCAACGTCATCTTCATCCAGGTAGCCAGAAGACTGAGCCCTCGCCGTCGTTCAACCATGATCCTCTCGTTCGCCACCCAGACCATCTGCCTCCTCGCTGCTGCCATCCTGGTTGAGGCCAAAGTGGTCTCCCCGAAGCCAGAAGACCCCCGGGCTCCGATTCAATGGATGCAGATTCTGCCTATTACCCTACTGGCCTTTCAAGCAGGTGGACAGATCTGTGCGTCAAGGATTCTCGCATATGATGAGATTCCTACAGTAGTCCTTACCACCTTGTTGTGTGATCTACTGGTCGACCCGGATCTGCTGGCAAAGAGGAATGCAAAGAGAAACAGAAGGATTGGGGCCTTCCTGGCGCTGTTCTTGGGAGCGATGACGGCAGGTGGATTGTCCAAGGTTGCTACCATGGCAAGTAGTCTGTGGTTTGCCTTTGGTTTGAAGTTCACAATCACCCTTAGTTGGGTCGTTTGGAGAGCCGAAGGAGGGAGCAAAGCTGGAGATATCGTTTAACTTGGAGGATCAACCCTTCTTGCACGCTTATGATTGTTTGCTGTTGACTTTTTTTCTGCCTCTAACACCGAGCCAACTGTTCAAGGATACTAAATTGTGACCATGTTCTTTCAATACCAATGCCACATATTATATCTCCATCCACATCACCACGTAGCCAATTTCATCTAGATACCCTTCCACCCCCCACCCCATGACATAACATGAACCAACCCATCAGCCATCCCTTACTCATTACTCCACATACCGCACTTACCCCCTCAACACAATACAATCCAACGCACCCATACCCCTCAAGTGAATACCCACGCCAGCCCTACCCCCACCATCCCACTACACCCACTCCCAGATAATCAACATAAATCAGTCCAATGAGATATGATCCCCCAAACCAATAAGATCCCCTTCCTGACCGAGATGTAAAAGGAATCGCGAAAATCCACTCTTATAAGGCGCCCAATAGTTACGCGTTGGGGGACGCGTCGAGAGGGTTATGAGCCCTAGATGGGTTTTGTATTCACCGCTAGGGGAGAATGTTGCTAGGAGTGAGGATTGACAGTATTTCTATTGTGTGTGTGGATGAAATGGGTGGTTCTGTCGGAGTGGATTGGATGACTAGGCAATAGATGGTCGGCGGTGCGGAGTGGTACTAATTCAGTCAGTCGATATACTAAATCTACAGCAGGGAGTAACTATATCTTATGAAGACTGTATGTCTAAGTTTATTTGCAGGGTGCATTATGTCCACCTAAATATTAACCTGATTAAAGTGCTTAGTCTTCAACCGGAATATAGCAATAGAGATCCAATCCAATATGGTATGCAGAAAATACACAAGATCTACAGCCCCACAATCCTCTTCTACTTTCTACAAAGTATCTATCTCTCGTGCATCAATAGTCGCTACCCATCAACCAAATACACTGAACCTACTACCAATAAACCAAACACTGCCTGATTCCAACAAACCAAAATTTGAGGCTGGTGAAACGCCAAGCCGGCGAAACCATTTAAATTCCAGTTGAAAATGTGTGGAACACTAAGCAGACTGGAAACGACAGAATATGATAGGATAAGATAGTATTAGACCCAGCGGAAACCCTCCGCGTATCTACGTACCCCATCGACAAGGCTGAAATGGGAGAAAAAGTAATATGATTCCTTTATAGACCCTGCGCGGTTTAAGTCAGCATAGGGCATCTTTAGTGAGATAGAATCATATGGAAAATATCGGAAAATACACAACTAGATAGATCAAATCTATTCCATTTAACTAACAAAGTAATTCACAAAATCTTGCAACCTAACTTGTGATTGTGAAATATTCAAAAACAGCCGGGTTAGTCACCGCCACGTAAAGACGTACTAAAAATACCCCACGGCCCAGCCACAAACTAAACCCGAAGCAGCAGGAATTTACAGGGCGACGCCAAGTAGAACGCGTAGTGCTGGTCGCATGTGTGAGACGAGGTTATTAAATATGCGCCCTCGGTGCCTTGTCTTCATTCTTTTCTTTTGAATATTTGTTTCTTGTCGCATACAGCCTTATCAAACAGTCCAACTCAAACCAACTCTCGTTAAGTTCATCGCAACCATGGCACCTCACTACATGGTCCTCGACCAACGGGCCATCGACCACCATATAATGAAGCGCGATCTGAGCGTTACACACGCCCAGGCAGTAACGTTAGGAGTGATGGCAGCGTATGTGGTTGTTATTGCGCTGCTTTGGAATTTGCCGTATGTGCGGTGGTCGTTGTGGCCGTTTAAAGTAATACCCCTACCCCCCTTCCAAACCAACCTCCTACCCAAGAAATGATACTAATGAATGGATAGATGCTAGTAATCGCCTTCCACGAATTCGGCCACGCCATAACAGCCTGCTGCACGGGCGGGCGCGTGAAATCCATCTCGCTCGACCCGCACGAAGGCGGCGTCACGCACATGCAAGGAGGAATGAGCGCCGTGACATTACCTGCTGGATACCTGGGGTCGTCGATTATCGGGTCGCTGTTGATTTTCGCGGGCTTTGATATCGTCGCGAGTAAAGTCGCTAGTATTGTTCTGGGAGTGTGCTTTTTGCTCACGCTTTGGTGGGCGAGGAGGGATTGGTTGACTATCATTACCATTTTGTTGGCGGTCGGGTTGTTGGTCGCTTGTTGGTTTATTGCCCATGGGGAGGCGTTGAAGTGGGTGGTGGTAGGTTCCTTTTCTTTCTTTTGGTTATTGGGAGTGTTGGGGTGGATTGCTAACTGTGGACATATAGTTGTTTATTGGGGTTATGTCGGCGCTTTATAGTGTTTGGGATATTGTAAGTCTTTTCTTTGTCGTGTTCGGTGTGTGCTTTGATGAGGGGGTGTGCTAACTGCATTGTCTAGTGCGACGACCTTATCCTTCGCAAAGTCAACACGTCCGATGCTAGCCAGTTCGCCAAGAGATACGGAGGATCTTCGCAGTGCTGGGGTGTTATCTGGTCGTTTATTTCTCTTGCCTTCATTGCGATCGCGATCATTGCTGCCATTGCTGCGTTCCGTGAGTCGTTCAGTGAGCAGGAGAAGGATTCGCAGCATTTCATCCCGACGCGCTGATCGACTGAATGGCCTGATTTACGTTTTCTTCTGATGAGTTATGAAACGTGGAGTCATGATGGGTGATAGGTCTGAGGCAAGACTAATGTTTCTCGGTTAATGTGATACCACTTTGTTTTTGTTTTGATCGTCTGCTGGCAGACAAAATGTATCAAGATTCAAGTAACTCCGGACAAATGCTAGGATTGTTTGTGCCCATGACTAACAGACTCCGTACTACGGCGGGTTACCGAAAACGGCCTCCCAGCCTGGCTACGGAGTACTGCAACACCAAGTCCGCCCATCCGTTTGCAACATACCACCAGACCAGTGCAACCAATCATTTGCTATCCACAATTCTGCGGTCACTGGTAACTCAGAAGGAATCGTCGTCCTCTTCTTCTTCCACTGGATCTCGTTTCAAACGGATCTTCATCGTCTCTGTCCCCTCAGGAAGGTCCAGACTATTGCCCTCGCGATCGAAGTAAAGCCTCCAAAGACCCTTCACTGCCTTATCATCATCCAAACCCAGATCCTCGTACTCTTGCTCCCTCCGCACATCATCTGGCAATCGCACTGCCAGCCACTGCTCATTCCCCTCCAAAGTCACATATTGTTCGTCTTCCGTCCAGTCGAAGGGACCGCACACGTTCTCCTCGCTATCCTTTCTGTTTCCATAGCTCAATTGCTTTGTCTCCTTGTCCAGATATACCCACCGCGCGAGGGGCGGCTCTTCCGGACTCATTGAGATAAGGCCGGCCGAGTTGTCTTGTCCGAAAGCTGGGTGTGTGTAGTACTGTCCATTGAATGGGGCCATGCTAGGGCTTGGCTGTTTGATGATGTAAATCTAATACATTCAGCAATCTGTCATGCCAAAGCTCCTCGAAACTGTATGTCAAACAAACCTTATAGTCCTTGTCAAGATACACTTTAGCATTGTGGACCTGCTGTCTTTGAGTCGGCGTTCCCGTGGTTTCCTCACAAGTGGCTACCAGATGACATCGTCGTGATCGTGACTCGGATCTGCGGTTTTCCTCCTGATCTCGAGCACCCTTCGTAGCTTCATTCAGCCCTATGATAGTGGGCACTAATGTTGACATCATAACCAATGAGAACACCATGTTGGGCAACTTGGATTCTGATGATTTGCTGGTTGTTCGAAAAGACGTAAAACTGCTGTGCAAGTATCATAGACTCTTGTTGGGAACAGGTCTAATTCTGCTGCGACTTTCATATATTCTCGGTCACCCCGGTGAAGCCCGTCTGCGGAGCCCCTCACTGCATTCCATCTCCTCGGCAGTGCCGATGCGACGTTGGATGACATATTGGATGCCGCGTGTGCAACAAAGTTAAGGTGTGAATGAGTAGCACCTTCGCCGGATGCGGAAGACTTCTGCTGGAACCGGCATCATGCGGATATCCAATTCATAGGTGGATTTTTTAAGCCCACTGGTGTCCATTACATCCCACCATGTAATGCGGCGAGCCTAATCGCGGATAAAAGGGTCCTCCTGTAACTCTTAGAACATGGGTGACAGAGGTCCAGAAGACACTGCCATGTAAGTTTGAAGAATTCATGTCAAGGTAGCCTTACCCTTTGCTCCCACCGTTTGTTGAGGCCGCTCGTGTCATGAATAGAATAAAGACATTTGGCTAACACATCTTCACAACCTTAAAGCGAACAACCACCTGAAACGTCAAGCCCAACAGAGACTTCGCCCTCCCCTCCAAAACCACCAAAACTCAACAAGCGACGGAAGTCGAAGAAGCTTTCAAGTCCACCATTAGAAAAAGTGGATTCACCACAGGGAGACCAGCAAGGACCTGGAGAGAGTCCACCTACAGATCCAACAGCAGCCCCAGCGGATCAAGGAGGTGATCAAAGCAATTCTCAAGAACAACCACAAGATACGGGATCAAAGATGACCGACGCAGTAGGAGATGTCGGCAACTTGACAAAGGGCGTCGGCGACAAGGCCGGCGGCGTCAAGGACACCGTCAAGGAGATTACCACTGGTGGTATGAACATGAACATCGACGATCCGGATTTGCAGTGGGAGACGCCTGAGAAGAGCGGTAGCTTGCAGATCCGAGTCCGACTCAATTTGCGTGCAAAAGTGCAGCTTAATCTCGATGCGAGAGTTAAGGGTGAGGTTGTTATAGGGCTATTGTGAATTTTTTGGTCGGTTTCATTGCTATCGAAACAGACGTTAGCCTCACCCGCACAAAGCTATACATTACATAGCAATGTAATGATAATTGACGTACTGCTCAGTAGTTTCAATATGGGGTTGTAGGATGCACGGCTCTTGTATCTCACTGCTGTGGCTGGCAAACTGGCACAACAGCATTTTCTGTAAGCCTGTTCGTTCCAGGCAACTATAGCACGATGGCCGAAGTGTCAAGCGCCAAATCCCAATTTCCAATCTGAGTGAAGAAATTATCAATATTGAGGTCACTGTCAATTCCAGAGGTAAATGGAAACGGTGTGCTGTTCGGAATTTGCTGTACTTCCATATCTAAAACTGCCAACTGGCCGTTTGTTGGGTCGATTATCTCATCCAAGATCCGGGACAAGATTCCATGGGCCCGTCTGCAAGATTCACCGTTGACTTCCCTTCGATTGATGCTTCTTTGAAGATTTGAGACAAACACGGCGAGGTTTTGTATAACTTCGGCTCGAGGAATCACCTTAATTTCCGGATTCGAAGTGTTGAATGAAGGATGCAGGTGCTTCAATAGGTCCACTGCCAGGATACTGGCTCCTGGTAGCCCGTAATAGAGCATCTTGGAAGAAATTCAGTTGTGTATCAAACAAAAATGACTATTAGTAGCACTCACAGGCCAAGATATATCTCGCTGCATGTTGGATACCTGATCAGAGAGCGACACCACCTGCAAGACTGTATTCAGCAGTGACCTCGAAATCCTGTACAATGGCTCCCGCGTCCACTCCGTCTCGTTCAAAAGCTTTCGATGCAATAAGAAGCAGGTGTATTTTTGATCCATGTATGTAGTCATCACAACATATCGCTGAGGAGGAGGTATGTGCTGAGATCCAGTGATTTCGTCGTACTTGAGATCTTGTGGAATCTGGTCCCATACAGCTTCTTGTCGAGCCAGTATGTCCCTATCGAGGTTTGATTAATAATTTAAAGCTTACCGGAGAGCAAAGAGTACTCACCTTGCCAAAGCCTCATTACCAATAGAGAGTCGCGTACCGAGACAAAGTCCAAGTATTTCCTCCCGAAACTGGCTGATAATAAGCTTTATCCGTCTCCAGGTTGCACCACGAAATTGTCGATCCATATTCCAGCCGTTCGCATCGACATTGCGTAATGCATTATCTAGTTCGTCTCCCTCTAGCAACAGTACCTCGTCGTCTATATCAGCGGGCATGGTATTGGCGCAGTAGGATCCCGAAATTCTGGGCGGGCGGCCGAGGAATGTACTGATTGTTTTGTCCATTGAATATATCTGGGCTGCGTATCTCCTTCTCAACTCAACTTGGTAGAAAGGATAGGTTGCCTCGAGTCCGGAGTCCTCCTGGTGAAGTCCGAGCGCGAAGAACATGCTGGAGACATCGCCCATGCAGCGCCATAATTGGAAGCCTATACAATCAGTATATAGTCCCTACGAACCAGTATCGAGTCTATCCGATGCCACTTACTCATGTCACCGTAGACCAGGTTCTTCAAGCAGGCATTCCCATAAAGTAACCATAATGCTTGGGGGCTAACACAATTGTAATTGTTACAAACGGCCGTACAATAATCGACACCTTCAGCGAGTCGATGAATGAAATCCGGCTTCTGGTCAGATCGTGATGTTTCTGAGGGTTTGCTTCGTTTATTGACGTCATATTTAAGTGACACTCCAAGGATGGCAAGGACGAAGCCAATGATCTCCCATCTGATATTAGGCCCAGTGAACAAGGTGTGATAGCCCTCCGCCGGCAGAGTTGTAAAGGCATCTAAAGGCTTGGCAGTGTTTGCGAACAGAGTCACAACAAGTTGTCTCAACCGATTGCCCCTAGACCTTTGCATAGTATCTTGTATCGATTCGATACAAGCCTTGATAAATGGATGCGGCACCATACACGTATAGGAAAGCTCGAGGTACCTGCAAATACTGTCTGCAAACCATGGAAACTCGAACAGCAAATTCAAAACCTTAGTACCCTCCGAAATCTGTTTCTCTGTGTACTTCTCCTGATAGCTTGGACAATCTGCACCAGAAGAAAACTCCTGGGCGGAGAGCTGCCCCAGATAGCGACCAACAACATTTTGATCGTCACTGATAATTGCTGGGAAGGCTGTCGAGCCGAAAAATTGAGTTTCTGCGCGAGGAACGGTCCTAGCTGTTGATGATGAAGATATGCTCTCTCTCAGTGAGTTATCACGAGCGGGCAGGGATCTCAGGCCCGAAGAGCCCAAGGGCCGCCTTTTCGGCCGTCCAGACTTAGGCCTGTCGCGCGGTTTGGTCATCGGCGCAGGATGATAAACACAGCTATTTTCTTTCTGACGGACGACACATCTGTCGCAGACGGGAGTTTTGTGGTCGCAGCGAATCTTTGATATTCGACAAGGCTCGCACGAGCAAGGCTTTCCATTGCGTCTGGTTGAGACTGAGCGCCGAGAACTCATATTGAATACCTAAGTCAGAATGCCATGGATCCTCTTAAAAAGGAAAGAATCATCAAATTTGAGCACAGATCAAGCAGTAGAAAGAAGGCTTAATCCTTTGGACTGGAAATGATGATGCCAAGCTGTTTTACCTCAGGAGACGCAAACACACGAGCACAATCCGCAGTGCTCCACAAGTAAGAAACAGGGTAAATTCACGGTCGCCAAATACAGTGGGGGATTTCAATTGGTCACATGACAGTACCCCACTAGCAGATAAGCCTTATTTTCAGGGACAGCAAACTTTAGGGCGATGGATGCTTGTCTTGTAACAGAAAGTCCTATCCTGCAGTTTTTTCTACGTGTGAATCGGCGCATACCAGAGTACTCAAGTGCCAAGCATGAGGATGTTCGTTCCTTCTGTCAGCTAGTAGATCGATTCATCGTCTCCAGCGGAAGATGTGGGGGTTACCCACCGTACGCTTTAATATGGAGGGACAAGTATAAACCTTAAGACAGTATCGTGATTAACCAAGAAATTAGTAATTGGAAGTCCTTCTAAAGCATTATCAATCTACATCTGTATGGCCGTTCTCTATTACATTGATTGAAGACTGGAGGTACTGCTACGTAACGGTAATATATATTTGACCGGGGGTGTTACAGTTAGTCTTACTAAGTACTCTGAAGGACAAATTAGTATGTAAGAAAACGTCACGTAATAATTTCCAGATAAATAAAATGGAGTACTTGATTAGATATGTATACAATAATCCGATGGAAGAGTTCTCGCCTTACCCACAGTGGCAGTTGCAAGTATCTTCGGCACGTCGCCCGATTCTCAACAATTCAATGCAGCCCTCATCGCAATTTCCAACTTCTTGATGGCGTCGTCAGAAATTTGATAATGCACCACCAACCGCCCTTCTAATCGCTCTTTCTCATGCACCTTGAGTCCCAGCTCCTTTGCTACCCGTTGGAATGCTTTCTTGTCGACCTTGCCATCGTTGAGATTCATCCACATCATGTTCGTCTCCGTGGGTCTCATTAAAGACCCACCTAGCCGTTCCCACATCATAGAGATATATTTTGCTCTCTCCTGACACCGTCTCAACTTGCCCCCTAAAAACACTTCTTTGAGTGCAACGCACATCGGCGCCGAAATGATCCCGGTTTGACGCAGTCCCCCACCGAGAAGCTTACGCATCCACCTCGCTCTTGTTATGAACTCTGCGTTCCCCACAATCACAGACCCGATGGGTGCTCCCAGACCCTTGGTAAAACATAATGAAACGCTGTCGAAGCACTCGCAAAATTGACCAAGAGTACCTGCGCCCGCGACAACAGCCTCCCATAGCCTTGCACCATCAAGGTGCATGTGTACCGGTGGGTCTTGAAGTTTAGCCCATGCGGAAATATCTCGGATTTCGTCGAGGGGCATGATTGTTCCGAAGAGTGTGTTCTCGAGGCTTATAACGCGGGTGGGACAGTCATCT